AAAATGGGTCATTCCAGACATTGTTCAGAAGAACAGCGTACCTTGATTAAAAAGTTGATTGGAGAGGGGAAAACATATAAAGAAGTGCAGAAAATGATAGGCTGCTCAGCTAAAATGATTGCAAATGCTTTAAAATGGCAACCAAAAGACGTGGAAGAGAAAAACTACCATTCGAATGGATAGAAGAATAGCCAAAATGGCAAGGACTCAGCCAACAATCAGCTCCAGGAAGATCAAAGAAGGTCTAAAGTTACCTGTGAGTACTGTTACAATTAGAAGACGCCTATGTGAAGCCAAGCTATCTGCAAGAAGCCCCCGCAAAGTCCCACTGTTGGAAAAAAGACACGTGCTGAAGAGGTTACAATTTGCCAAAGAGCACATTGACTGGCCTAAAGAGAAATGGCGCAACATTTTGTGGACTGATGAAAGTAAGATTCTTCTTTTTGGGTCTAGTGGCCGGAGACAGTTTGTCAGATGACCCCCAAACACTGAATTCAAGCCACAGTACACTGTGAAGACAGTGAAGCATGGTTGAGCAAGCATCATGATATGGGGATGTTTCTCATACTATGGTGTTGGGCCTATTTATCGCATACCAGGGATCATGGATCAGTTTGAATACATCAGAATACTTGAAGAGGTCATGCTGCCTTATGCTGAAGAGGAAATGGGTGTTCCAACAAGACGACTCCAAACACACCAATAAACGTGCAAAATCTTGGTTCCAGACCAACAAGATTGACGTTATGGAGTGGCCAGCCCAATCCAATCCGCGGATCTTAATGCAATAGAAAACTTGTGGGGTGATATCAAAAATGCAGTTTCTGAGGCAAAAGCAAGAAATAAAGAACTGTGGAATGTAGTCCAATCATCCTGGGCTGGAATACCTGTTCACAGGTGCCAGACGTTGGTTGACTCCATGCAACACAGATGTACAGCAGTTCTCAGAATCAGTGCTTATACAACTAAATATTAAGTGATTCAAAGGAGAGCAAAATCTTCAAACATTTTTCAGTCTATATAGTGAATGTTTGAGTTTGTAAAGAAGAATACAAACACTGCTATTTTTTTGAACAGTCTAATATTCACTTTTCTTCAATTTTTTTAGAGGAACAACACAAATTTGATATATTTTTCTTCATGTTTTGATTTGGAATAGAATGTGTAGTGTTCCCAATGCATTTGTGTGTATGGAAATAAAAGCTATTAGAAGGATTTTGAGCTTTATTCACTTTTTTCAACACACTGCTATGATTTTGAACACAACTGCGTCTGTATGTGGGTGTGTGTATGTATGTATGTATGTACGCACACGCACACACACACACGCACACACTTTGCAAGAACAAGTATGTAAACTCCTTGGGATTACGTGGAGTTTTGCATGAATTGGGCATACAATGTGCTCTGAACGTCATCCAAGAAGTACCTGGTAGTTGTGGGCACACAAGATGAGCGGCTGTGATGTCGCTTCCCGAAGGTTGAGGTGATGGGCGTAACTATGCATTTGGAGCATGCGTGCAGTGGGACCAGATCAGTGTGATAGCAGCTGTGATCTTCATGCTTGATGAGCGCTTTTCACCCTTTTTTTATGTGAGTTGTATACAGAAGGTTTTTTGCTTTAATGCAAAGAATGCATTAAGCTAAAAAAACTTTCTGCCTTTTAGAACCACTTTAACCACTTCACAACCACGCTATAGCCAAATGATGGCTTCAGCGCAGTTGTCCAGTTCTGGGAGGGCGTCATATGACGTCCTAGAACGCACCCTCTCGTGCTCCCCCAGCGATGGGCATTTGGCGCTCTCCGTTATAGCTGTGTCCTACGGACACAGCTGATCACATAATGAGGTAAAAGGCCAATAACAGGGGCCTTTTACCATGTGATTAGTTGTGTCCAATGACACAGCAGATCACCGAGTAAATACAGTTGCTGGTTATTGGCAGCACTTTGACAGCATGAGGAAAGTACTGCCGATAACCGGCAATTGTCACAGAGCAGATCGGCACTGATGATCAGTGCCATCCCATCCTTGCAGCCTATCAGTGCTGCCTATCCGTGCCACCTCATCAGTGCCCCCTATCAGTGCAGCCTCAACGCACATCAGTGAAGGAGAAAAATTACCTGTTTTCAAAATTTTATAATTGAAACAAAGAAAAACTTTTTTTTTGTTTTGTTTATGGTGCAAAAAAATAAAACACCCAGTGGCGATTAAATGCCACCAAAAGAAAGCTCTATTTGTGTGAAAAAAATTATAAAATTTGATATGGGTACAGTGTTGCATGACTGCGCAATTGTCATTCAAAGTGTGAGAGCACTGAAAGCTGAAAATTGACTTGGAGATGAAGGGGGTAAAAGTGTCCTGTAGGCAAGTGGTTAAGGGAAAATATACAAATACAGTATATAATACAATAATGGGAATGTGTTTCAGCAAACATGCAAAGTGTACAACTTGCCTGAAAACCACTGTAAGGTTAACATTACAATAATGTTTTGAAATGGGGGCTCAGTGTAATACACAATAGCTTGCTTTTGATTTTGGCATATTGTTGCCAGCTAGAGGATAGGTTGAAATTTGAAGTGGAATAATTTTTTATTAATTTTTATTAAAACATGCTTTGGATGTAGTGTACAGATGTTTCTTTTTCCTCTGTTTGTAAATTGAAGGCTTTCCAGAAAACGTTGCAATGCTTGCAAGCTTGAATTGTACCTGTACTTGTACTACTTTTATGAAATTTGATTTGAGAGGGTGAGGGAAACAGAGTCTGTATTTAGAGAAATGATGTTTTAACTTGGAAGACCATCTAACAATGCATTGCTGGATCTCTTCCAAGTACCAGCAAGATTACTGGAGTGACACCGTTGTTCTAGGTCAAGACATATACGGTTGAGTAGCACTTTATCCGGGGGGGGGGGGGGGGGGTAGTGGTGGCACAATGAATTTCAGTGTATACATTCTGATGCTTATCTAGGGTAATATTGTGCAACTTGGTGCAACTGAAAGTCCATCTTCACCGACAGAGAAATGTTTTTTTAGTTTTATTTTTCTTTTCTGTCTGAATGGATATTTGATAAGAAATTACAATAGGAAAATCATGACTGAACAAAAAAAATATGGGTATAGGCTTGTACTTGGGTTTTATGTTCAGATTTATCATTTTCTATTTGAAAGAAGACAAAACTGCAAATTTTCAGCTGCTGTCTAAAGTCGTTAGGGATAACCTAGTTGCTTCTAGTGTAATCTAATATTCTACATATTGGCTGAATGCCTCTGCTTTTTGTTTAGTATGCAGTCTATATAATCAGAAAGTATAAAAGTCTACAGGGATTTCCTCTGCTTATCAGACTGAAAATGTTCTGTCAGGTGTAAAATTGAGGCAAGAAGGAGTTCCCGTTTTCTTGATTTCTGTGCAGTGCTGTATCTTTACAGTGTTATTTATTCTCATTATTAAAGATTTTATATAGCACCATCATCTCCATTGACGCTTTTCAATGTAAGTAATACAAATAAGCGCTAATACAGATACATAAATGGCAATTACAATCAGATCTGGCAATGAAATATACAACTTTAACAAGATGGGATTTCTATGTGCTAAGCTGCTTCAGGAGCATTCCAACTGGTGCAAAGCCTGAGCACTTACCCATTCTCTAGCTTCTAAGGCTTTACTACATACTTTTAGCTATTAAGTGGTTTTTTTTTTTTTTGTTTTAATATACTACCTTGGATCCATCATTACAATGAAAAGCAGGTATGAGTTCTACTTTAGAGCCCTGCTGTCTGTGTCCCCAGGATGATTTCCCCCTCACTTCCTGTTTCAGGTGCACAGCAGGAAGAAAGAAGACATTGCTGCCTTTGAGAGTTGTCACCGGAACAGGTGTCTCCATTGGGTGATTTCTCAGTGGCTAAAAATTCAGCCTTGCCCTCATTTTTGTTGCAAGGACAGATTGAGTAAATCTCCACGACGTGTATATAGATATCAGTGAAACCTTTACAGCAGTCCTTACACTTCCCAACTGTATCCAACACTAAGGAGAATAGATCTTGATTTTCACTTTAATCACCCAAGAGATAACTTGAAGCTTCATATTGTGCAATCCAAAACTCATCTTTTTTTTAGAATGGTGTTGCGTATTTGTAGATTTTGAATAACAGATGGAAAGATGTCGCAATGAAAGCACCCACAATTTGAAGATCGATAACTTTGCCTTTCAATAAGGATTTTAGGAAAGATAAAAAGACTTGGTTGACTACACAGAGAATGCTTATTTTGTTATTATAGCTGATGCTTCTGTTGTGAAAACCCAAGAGGTGGTAACTAAAAAAGAGAAATAAAAAGTCTCCTTTAAGAACACCTGCCATTTTGTTAGCTCCTAAGTCCTCTTGCACACTGGACATTTTTACAGTTGCTGTTTTTGGCTTTTGACGTTTTTTTTTTTCTTCAGCCAGTAAACTCCCCAGCATGTTATCCTATGTGTCCATGCGCACACAGACTGTAATCAGTGTTTTTTGGCTGGAAAACACCCCCCCAGAACTAGTGGGTTTATAGAGGAATTTTTTTGCAGTAAAAACACTCTAACGCTGAAAACCACAGTAAATCGGGGTAAACCGGCATTGTTTTTACTTTTTTTAGCAAAAAAAAAAAGGTAAAAAATGCAGCTAAATGCTAACGCAAACATGTTAAAAAAAACTTGCGTTTTGAACGTGACTTTACACAGCTAACGTTACCAGCATTATTAAAATGCCCCGTGTGCATGGAGCCTAAAGGTGCAGAATAATGTTTAGAAGGGTGACAGTTTAGTAAACTGGGAGAGCTCATTTGAGATATTTGTTTTTTTTTTTTTTTTTTGGGGGGGGGGGGGGCTTTTAAAATGTTTTTCATATAACATATGCAGGTGTCTTGCTTTCATATGACATTTGTAACATGTTTGTGGCCGAGCTTACCATAGTAAATGATTTTTAAAGTAATTTTGCAACATTTCTCCTCTTTCCTCTGTGTAGCTTGCCATGTCAAGTGATAAGCTATCCACATTGCAAATGCCACTTGTGAACCTTGATCTGGATATTCTCAAAAATAGAACAATGACACCGATTTCCATTGAGATGAATAAAGAGGAGCTGCAGAATCTTATCAATTCTTTAGAGGCAGCTAATAAGGTATTGTATTCCTTTATAACCTTTTTCTCAGTGATTTTTTTTGGTTGCTTTTTTAATGTGGATGTGACAGTAGATTCAGAGTATGGTTGCAGTATACATTTTGTATTGCATATCGTGAAGTGATGGCATAAAAACCAGTTAGTGTGCTAAGTAAACATCACTGTACTGTCCCCTATGTTTAGGTGGCATGGCTTCTCAAGAGGGATTTCTATGGAAAGATGTAAATTCCCACCTTGTATAATACCCTATACAGCTCTGGTCTCAGATTTTATCTACACTGTTAAAGCTACTACGAGTTGCAGTCACAGATGTCTCCATCCAACCCTTTATGTATAATTGAACTTTTGTTTGTTTTTTTTTTTTTTTTTTTGCTTCGATTGGATCTTTTTTTCTATTTAGGATAGAGTGACAAGGGTGAAAGCCATGTCTCTTCATGCGTTTTTCTTACTCTCTCCTCCTCGGGGAGATTTACATCAATTACTGTTATGTTACCAGTAAGTGAGATAAAATGTTAACAACAGGGTCAAAGACGGGACCAAATGCTTGATAACAATGCAATGTTAGAAGATATTAATTTATATTATTCTTCTGCAGTCTGCAAGAGTTGGGCTGGCTGAGGGCAATATCAATAGATTTTCTTCAGGTTAATTTACAGCCATGCTGTGAACCAGATGGTTTAGAGAGATCTATTCTCATTAACTGTAGAATGTTTTAGAGGTGGGATACACCTCTGTACTCTGTCCTAAAAGAATTGACTGGGCCATTTTGGCATAGTCTGATATACACAGGTTGGCAGTAAGTATGCTGGCATTGCTGAACTTTTTTTTAGAAAGTAAAGCTTCCTTTGCAGTCTAAATGTCATAAATGCACCCTATATTATATGGCCAAAATGTGTGGACACCTGACCATTGCACCCATATGATCTTGTCGGAAATCCCTTTCCAAAACCATAGTTGTTTTGTATGAAGTTGCCTGCTCTTGATAACAGCCTTGGTCTTTTTGGATTGAAGTGTGTCTTTGGGAATTGATGCCCATTGAGCAAAAAGAGCATCTAAGGTCTGGTACTGACTGGATGAGAAGACCTGCCTTGCAATCTCTGTTCTGATTCATCCCCAAGATGTTTAATAGTGCAGAGATCAGGGATCTCCACCTAAGCTACTTTGCATCAAATGCAACAAGCCATGTCTTTATGAACCTGGGTTTGTGCACAAGGACATGTAATGGAAAATGGCATTTGGCAAGGTGTTGCAACAAGGTTGGAGGTGCACAATTGTCAAAAAATATCTTTGTATGTTGTAGTAATAAAATCCTTTTACTTTCCCTTTTATTTTTTGCCTGTCCTATTATAGGTATGTGTTGGCTTGGTTGGACCTGGCTAAATATTAACTATTTTTCTTGTTCCCAGGTTGTCCTACAACTGAAGTAACTGAAGACAGTTTAAACAATATGGATGTCTCTACCTAACAGCATTAGAATGCCTCAGAAAATTAGGCATAAGATATAAACGTTTATGTATGGTGGCCATCATGCTCAAGCAATTTTTTTGAGTTGTGCCATATGCTGATGTTAATGAAATCAGTTGTTAGAAAAACATTTTGCAACAACGTGTTTTGGGACAGACTTTCCACTAGTTTTAGATCTAACCGTTGGTATAATTTCTTAGTATTATTTTCTTGTTATGACCTATGTAGTACATTTTTTATACAGGCAAAATTATATTTTTTTGTATTCAGTTCATAGCTACAGTGCTCTGTTCTATTTTTTTTTTATACTGAAACTTGTGTTTCATGTGGTTTCAGTGCAAGAAAATATAAGTTTAAATTTGAAATGGCAGGTTTTTTTTTTGCCAAAATCTTGGAAAAACATTCAATGTAATCTTTAAAAATAATCGGTAAGTTATGTGAAGAAATTATCTGGATATTACCCTTCCAGTTATGACAGTGTCATCTGGTATTCAAATATAGTGCAATAAAATACATTTTTGATATACTGTATTACATACAAACAGGCTGTGTATGTTAATGGTTGGGAATGGTTCTAAAGGTGCAGAGGAGGCACCTAATGTGCTTTAACTTATGGCACACGGTATTGCAATGGCCCTTGTGATAAATAATTTCCAAACAGCCTACTTCCTAGTGCTTATGGAAGATTATAAGCTTCCCATAGACACCACCTAACAGTGCCTGCATAGTGGCAGCACCAGTGTTGCTGAACCCGCTGAGCCATCCATGTTTGACCACAGACCACCATTTCAAGAAAACACTTTATTGGCAACTAGTTTTATAGTCCGTCCTTCTCTGTGACCACCAATGTAAAAAAGCATTCTTTCCAAAAACGCATGGGTATAAGGGGATCTTTCTAATTTACTACCGATGCTAAGGAGTGTTTCCCTCACTGACCACCAATTAAGGGTCCACTTCTCCCACTGACCACCAATGTAAGGGGTCGCCTCCTCAATTGAACACTAATGTAAGAGAACCTTCTTCATGATCACCAATGTAAGTGGACCCTTATCCCACTGACCACTAATGTAAAGGATCACTTTTCCCCCTCCTTACAAATGTAAGAGGTCCTTCTCCATGACCACCAATGTAGGGAGCCCATCCCCACTGACTGCCAGTTTAGCAATGTCAACCTATTTCTTTTCAGTTTCATCTCATAATTATTCGGAAAATAATTTTGGCACATACGATAGGTGAGTTTTTTAAAAAAAAAATTATTCTCTCTCGGTTTAACATATGCCAAACCTTTTTTTTATCCCTTTAACTATAGCTTTCTATTTATAAAGATGTACATGCACAGCAATCATTGTTTAGCAAGTTTTTCCTGAAACTTGAAAATTGTTCAGTGGTAGAAAAGGTTGTGAGGCTGTAATAGAAGAGGTTTGGGCATGCAGGTACAATTCATTCACCCGCAGAAACATCTCTTCTTTTGCAACATATTTTCATTGCACTTAAAAGCATGTGGGTTATCAGAGTTATAAAATAAATAGAAATGTGTTTTTACTAAAATGTATTAAAAAATGCTCACTGTATTTAGATAAATCCATATCAGGATTATATCACCCCAAACGGATTACCATGATACTGTAAAATTTTGAAAACTACATTTGGAATATATTGAAAGAATACATTCTTCTTGGAAGGTACATTTAAAAATTGAGAGAATATCAAAACTTTGGTGGCTGAAAATGCTGGTCTCAGTCTGAAAATGCTGGCTGCCTGTCTGACTGTCTGGCTTCTGAAAATTATGTGACTAATGGAAGCCTGAAAAAAGTCAGATTTACTTATTATGCCTATTCTGTTTTTGAGGAGGAGAAAATGTTAAAGCTATGCATTAGCATGGCAGCCAGACAACTAGCTTTCTCAGAAGTACACAATGGCATCCCACAAATATCTCATCTTTCTCCTCCCTGTCTGTGCCCCTGTTTGGGAGCATTACTCTATTTGTCTTGGTGACTGTTATCCCCAAAAGTGAAAAAAAAAAACTAAAATTTTTGAGTGGTCACCACAACAGAAATAGAGGGGAAATGGAAATTCTAGCTCTAGTGACTACCAGGGATTTATCTTATTTCAGAGGGATTTCCTTTCGTGTCCAATTTTGGCTATCAGATAGGACGTGAAGGGAAATCTTCCCCAATTAGACACAGATGGCAAAAAAACCTAAAAAGGTTTATAATGTTCCTTTACTCTATCAAAAATGAAGAAAATAAGTTTTCTCTTCAGTTCTCCTTTTAAATCCATTGCAGAGATGTCCATAGTGGTGGGTAGTATTTTTTTTTTTTTTATACCCTTGCCCTCCGTCCTATAGTAGAAATACTGCTACAGGGTGGCAGGGCTGTGCAAAAGCGTGTGTGTGTATATATACATGATTTGCATTTCTGGGTAGGGAGAGCGTGCACCCTACCTGCGCCACTATTGGCTTATAATCCCGGCCGGGATTCGGTGATTGTTGGTAGGGGCTGAGAGGGGAGAGATCTGTGTGTAAACAACACAGATCTCTCTCCTGTCAGCATGGACATGCTGCTTTGTATCTCTCTGCACAGCAGAGAGGTACAAAGCAGCCTGTCTCCCTAGTAAAACACACAGCACACAGTTAACCCTTTGATTGCCCCAGATGTTAACCCCTTCCTGCCCAGTGTCATTAGTACAGTGTCAGTGCTTTTTATTAGCACTGATCACTATTATTTTCACTGGGGATGTCAGTGGCCATTAGTTCCCACTCAGTGTCAGAATGCCTGCCGCAGTCCCACTATAAGTCGTTGATCACTGCCATTACTAGTATGGAAAAAATTCTAAATAAAAATTCCAGTATATATACCGCCATTCGTAGACGCTAACTTTTACGTAAAGTAATCAATATACACTTTTTGGTATTTTTTGTTTTTAATCGCAAAGACATATAGCAGGATACATTTTGGTCTAAATTTAGAAGAAATTTTGATTTTTAAAAATTTTTTTTATTGGATGTTTTATAGCAAAAAAAAATGTTTTTTTTTTTTTTTTTTATTGTCGGTCTTTTTTTGTTTTTTTGTTTTATAGTGCAAAAAACCACAGAGGTGATCAAATGCCACCGAAAGAAAGCTTGACTTGTGGGGAAAAAATTACATAAATGTCATGTATGTAAAGCATTGCATAACCATGCAATTGTCCATTAAAGTAACACAGCGCCATATCACAAAAAATGGCCTGGTCAGGAAGGGGGGTAAATCCTCTGGAGGGCAAGTGGTTAATATTCTACTCATCTCCTTGGATTTATTCAGATAAAGAGGACCTTTTTTTTTTTAAATAACTATGAAGAGATAATCTCTTCTCAGAAAGCAATATAGCAATATAGCTCCTGATTTGAAATTGTTTTTTGAGTTTCAAAATGGTACAGAAAGGCCATGTAAGATGAATCCACGAAACAAGATAAACCAAACAGAGAAAAGAAAAAGAAGGAATACATCTCAGCAAATCATAACATGTAAAAGGGAAAAAAAACTCCAAAAAAACAGCAAACACATGTTTTCATATAACTGTGAGTACCTGACGAGTGTAAAGCATAATTTGAGGCAAGGGGTATCAACCTATTGCCCCATCGGTGCAAGTATCCAGCAAAATAGGGCGTAGTGAACTGTGTCT